TGTAACAAACCTGCACATTGTGTACATGTACCCTAGAACTTAAAGTATAATAATGAAAAAAAATACATTCAAGATCTTCAACAATTATTAGACTAAGCAGGAGAAAAAGTTTCAGAACTTCAAGAGAGGTCATTTGAAATAACACAGTCAGACAAAAGAGAGAGGGAGGGAGGGAGAGAGAGAAAAAAAAAAGAACAAAGAAAAAAGAATAAAAAAGAATGAATAAAGCCTATGTGACACATGGAACATCATAAAGTGACCAAAGTTTTGAATCGTGGTTGTTCCACATGGTCAAGAGAAAAGGCATATAAAAACTATTTAATAAAATGATGGCTGAAAACTACCCATGTCAACAAGAGATTCCCAAATATACACAACCCAAAAAGGTCTTGTACAAGGTACATTATAGTCAAACTGTCAAAAGTAAAAGACAGAGATACAAGCCACATACAAGAAAACTGTTATCAGACTAACAGTGGATTTCTTAGCAGAAATATTACAGGCTAGGAGAAAATAAGATGATATATTCAAAGGGCTGAAAGAAAACAAACTGTCAGCCAAGAATAATATATTCAGCAAAGTTATTGTTCATAAATGAAGGAAAAATAAAGTATTTTCCAGACAAACAAAAACTGAAGGAATTCATCACCATTAGGCTGGCCCTACAAGAAATGCTTAAAGGAGTACTACACTTAAGCAAAAGGATAGCTACTGTCATAAAACTGGATGTGCAAACACACAAATGAGGAAGAAGAACTCAAATGTTACTATGACAGAAAATCACCGAACCATAATGATAAACAACACAAGAGAAAGAAAGGAACAAAGGATAAAGAAAACAACCAGAAAATAAGAAAACAATAGGAATAAGTCCTCACATATCAATATTATTCTTGAATGTAAACAGAGAATGGCTGAATGGATTTTAAAAACATGACCAAACTATATACTGCCTATAAGAAAGTCACTTCACCTGTAAAGAAACATATAGACTGGTTGTAAAAGAATGGAAAAACTATTCCATGCAAACAGAAACCAGAAGTGAGCAGGAGTAGCTGTAGTTATTTCAGATAAAACAGACTTTAAGTCAAAAAAAATAAAAAGAGACAAGGATAATTATTATATAATGATAAAAGGATCAATTCAGAAAGAGGATATACCAATTTTAAACTTATACTCACCCAACATTGAAGTATGCAAATATATAAAGCGCATATTAAATCTAAAGGGACAGAGAGATTCCAATAAAATAATAGCTAGAGGCTTCAACACCTCATTCTCAGCATTAGACAGATCGTCTAGACAGAAAATCAATGAAGAAACATTGAGTTTAAACATCATTTTAAACCAAATGGCCCTAACAGATAATTACAAAGTATTTTTTTCAATAGCTGAAGAACACACATTCTTTTTGTGAGCACACGGAACATTCTCCAGGCTAGACCATATGTTAAGCCACAAAAGAAGTCTTAACACATTTTTACAAGTGAAAATCACATCATGTATCTTGTCAGACCATGACAGATTAAAACTAGAAATCAGTAACTAGAGGAACTTTGGGAACTGTGCAAACACATGGAAATTAAGGAAAATGCTCACGAATAATCACTGAATCAATGAAGAAATTAAAAAGGAAATAAAAAATTCTTGAAACAAATAAAAATGAAAAAAATAGCAAAACCTATGGGATATAACAAAAGCAATGCTAAAAATGGAAGTTTAGAGCAATAAACACCTCCATCAAAATAGTAGAATGTTTCAAATAAACAATGCACCTCAAGAGACTAGAAAAGCAAAAACAAACCAATCAACGAAAATTAATAGAAGGAAAGAAATAAGGATCAGAGCAGAACTAAGTGAAATAGATACTTAAGCAAAGGATCAACCAAATCAAAACTTGGTGTTTTTAAAAGATAAAGATTAAAAAAAACCAGTAGGTAGACTAACTTAAAAAATATAGAAGATACAAATTAACAAAATCAGAAATGAAATAGAACTGATACCACAGAGTTACAAAAGATAATCAGAAAATATTATGAACAACTATATGCTGATAAATTGGAAAATCTAGAGGAAACTGACAGATTTCTGAACACATATAACCTACCAAGATTGAATTAAGAAGTAGCAGAGGAGGTTGATTATAGTTAATAACAATGATTTTGTATTTCAAAATAGCTAGGGAGAGGTCTAGAAATGTTCCCAACACAACCAGGTGGCCTCACTGCCAATTTTTCCCAAAACTTTAAAGAACTAACACCAATTCCCCTCAAACTATTCCAAAAAAATTGAAGAGAATGGAATTCTCTGTAACTCAATCTACAAGGCCAGCATTTACTCTGATACGAAAACCAGACAAGGACATAAAAAAATAAAAGTACAAGTCAGTATCTCTGTTGAATATAAACATAAAAATCCCCAACAAAGTGCTAGCAAACCAAATTCAACAACCTATCAGAAAGATAATGCACTGTGATCAAGTTGGATCTATCCCACGGATGTAAGGGTGGTTTAACATATGCAAATCAATAAACAAGGTACATCAACAGAAAGAAGGACAAAACCATATAATCATCTCAGTAGATGCAGAAAAAAACATTTGATAAAATTCAACATTCCTTCATGATAAAACTCTCAACAACTTAGGCATAAAAGGAACATACCTCAAACTAATAAAGTCCATATATGACAAACCCACAGCTAACATGATACTGAATGATGAGAAATCATTGAGGTGATAGATATTCTAAATAATCTGACTTGAGTTTTATGCACACTATACATATAACCAAATATCACATGTACCCCATAAATTTGCACAAATATTATGTATTAACAAAAAAAAATGACAACATATGATAATCTGAAACCACAGGAACAAATTAATAGAACCAGAAATTATTAATAAGAAGGTTAATATACTAAACATTGGAAATATATACTTCTTTCTTCCCTCAACTTTTTAAAAAAGCATAAAATTATATAAATAAATAATTATAACAACAACTATAACCATGTCTTTATTATTTACAAATGTACTGTGTATAACAATAGCACAAAAATGGGGAACAGGTAATACAGCTATCTAAGAGTAGCTTTTCTATATTTCACTAGAATTTAGTATAAATTTAAAGTACTTTTTAAAATGGACTGTGATGATGGTGACAGACATTACTGAATGTATTAAAATCCATAGAATTTAAGATTTTAGACCGCTTAAAATACTCAGTGAACTTCAAGCAGAAAAAGATTTTTAAAAGATTTAAAGCAAAGTGAGAATATTGGAAAGGAGAAAAATTGTAAATCTTACTAAATTATAAGTGTCTCCAGCACATACCTTTTAATTTCTCGTATTTAACCCAATCTTTCCTCAGATGGTCTCATTTTTTCCCTGATTGTGTAAGGATCATTTGCTTGCTCATTTCAAATGAACCGGTCTTTCTTTGATATATCAGGTGAAGAAAGAACAAAGGAAGAAAAAAATACGTCTGCTGATGTTTCCAGTTTTGAGTTGCTGTATCTCTTATATTGTTACTTAATTACTGAAAACTTGTTCTGCTCAATGTTATGGATCACTTTTTACTTTGGTAATGAGGCAGTGCTCAGTATGGAATGCAGTTGTGACATATTTGAGCAGCTGGTGTCATAATGCAACCATTTACATTATTCATGTATTCACCAATTTTTCCAAAACAGCAACAACAACAACAACAACAAACCACTCTACAATACAATGGAAGGATTATGACAGGTATCCAATCATAGTTACATACTCTGCTAGAGCCAATTCTACCCACACAATCTTAAGCCCAATGTTGACCTTATGTCACCAATCCTCATTATCCCCTTTTCAATATGAATTTCTTTTTAATAATTTTTATACATTTTTATCTCATTGAACTTAGTAGTTTCTAATTCCTGGAAAATATAAAACCACATAAAAACATAAATGGAAATGGATCCAATAACAATTCTGGTAGTGCTGCAAATCTGACCATTACCTCCTTGATTCTCGTTTAAGGGACCTCAGAGGGCAGGTTTTCTCAGTTTGACAAATATCTTGTAATTTTTTCATAACTAATATCTAAAGAATTTACAATTCCATAATGTAAAAAGGGGAAAGAAATATTCCTCAATGAGTCAAATAATTTCTGCCTCATGATAAGTTTCTGTGACTAATGAGGCCATGGTTTGCAGCTTGACCTATGGAAAAAAATGTTCCCCCTCACATAGTACATACCTACAGGTTGAGTATGCTTTTAGTGTAAACTGGAAAGATACATTATCATCATAATGTCCCTAGGATAATTTCAATTTGCATAAGAGATAGAATTGTATAGAACAATTACTGGTTAAGAAAGTATACAGCATCGGGTTGTGCATGAGTGGTGCCTTTCCCTGGCTATATGATATTTCAATTCATTAAACATATCTAAGCCTGAATATAGTCTGGCTTATATAATTGTTAACATCCATTCCTTTTTAAGGTTTTTGTTATTTTCCAATGAAGACATTTCATTTTAATTATTCTATAAATACAATTTTTATTTTTATTTTATATATATACGTGTGTGTGTGTGAGTGTATATATATATATGTATTTTTTTTTTGGTGAGAGTCTTGCTGTGTCACCAGGCTGGAGTGCAGTGACACAATCTCAGCTCACTGCAACCTCCGACTCCCAGGTTCAAGCAATTCTTCTGCCTCAGCCTCCCGAGTAGCTGGAACTACAGGCATGTGCCACTACACCCAGCTAATTTTTGTATTTTTAGTACAGATGGGGTTTCACTGTGTTGGCCAGGATGGTCTCAATCTCTTGATCTCATGATCCACCTGCACTTTGGCCTCCCAAAGTGCTGGGATTACAGGCATGAGCCACTGCGCCCAGCCACAAATATTTTAAGTTAGTAACACACACACGTATATGCACATGCACACACGGTCACATTTGTATATAAATGATTACCTTACAGTGTTTTGATATCTGTTTATTTCTATAGGGTCTGAAATAGAACAATTGACAGATGCATTTGGAAGAGATATACTAAAGGATGAATTCAAGACACGATCAAAGAGTCTCCCTGGTAGGAACAAAAACTTTACATATTTAGTATTTCTGGTTAGTTTTGTTCTCTGGAGTGTAACTAAGTGTGCATCTTCAAGGAGAACAGTGCCTATACATTATTACATAGGCAAAAGTCTTCGTGAATTCCCCTCTATAATATTTCAACCCTAGTTTCAACTAGCAATGTAAAATTAGCTTTTCAAAAGCAGAAAGGCCAGATGATAGATGTGATAAGAAGATGAATATAACAGATAATAATTTTATTGGTTACCAGTTCACTCTATATGGTAAAAATATCAGTCAAGTTTGTAACATCTCAGCTGCAATAAAGTTATTTAGTTATATTTTTCAGAGATTACACAACTGAATTTAGTCCCGGGGTTACAGGGTTAGACACACTTCTCTGTGACCGTTGGTGTGATACCAAAAGAAGACACTTTAGCAAATAAATAATGGAAAGAGACATTCAAAGAGTGCCCTGCTAAAACCACTGTCATCCAAGGGAGACTGTTTGATGCCCAAGGAGATGCCCTTAAAGAGCAACATAAGAGACTTTACACTGTAGAGGATAGAGACTTTAGGAAAATACTTCTGTCAAATCACACACATACACAAACACACACACACACCCCACCACCAACAACAACAAGAAACAAGAAAACAAGAACAACAAGCCCCCCAAAAAGGAAGAGTCAACCAACATACAGATTTGCTATAATACGTTATCTAAAATGTCCAGATTTTAGCAAAAAAATTAAGACATGCACAGAAACAGTACTCTGTAACACAAATACCAGGAAAAAGGCAAGGAAAACTGCCTGTGAGAGTCCTACATGTTAGATTTAGCAGACAATGACTACAAAGTAGTCAAATAATAATAATATCATCAAATAAAACTCTTCTGAAAGAAGAAAAAGAAGGTATAATGACACTCTTTTATCAAATAGATGTCAACATTGTGATACAAATTAAACTTTTTAAAGAACCAAATTAATATTTGGAATTGAAAGGTAAAATAACTGCAAGGGAAAATTCATTAGAGGGTCAAGGAAAGATTTGAACTGTCAGAAGGAGTAAGCAAACAATACAATGGGAATACCAGAATGACAGTATTCCAAGTAGAAAGAGAATAAGAAAAAATATTTGAAGAAAAATGGCTGAATACTTTGAAAAATATTTACTGGGTCATATTAATCTATACATCCAAGTTCTATTAAATCTAAGTAGAACAAACACAAATCAATCCATGACCAAAGTAATCATTGTAAAAATGTTGAAAGACAAAGAGAATGTAAAATGCATCAAGAGAAAAACAATTCATCCCACAGAAGGTAACCCCAGTAAGATTAACATCTGTCTTAGCATTAGAAACTTATGAAGTCCAGAAGGCCATGGTGTTGTATATTAAAAGTGCTGAAAGAAAAAAAAATCTACCAAGCAATAATTTTATTGCTAGCAAAACTATTTTTCAGAAAAGGTGAAAAATGAAATTGCTAAATAAATAAAAATTGAGAGATTTCATTTCTAGCAGAACTGTTTTCCAAGAAATTTGTTTAGGCTAAAAGGAATTGACCTCTTGACAGTAATTTGAATCCCCCTAAAAAAGGTATGAGTTAAATGTTATAATTGCAAAAGACAGTATGTATAAATATATATTCCACCTCCTTTCTTTTCTTAATTTATCTAAAAGACAACTGTATAAAAATATTTATATAATTGTATCATTGGGCATATAACATATCAACTTGTAATATATTCACAATAGCAGCACAAAGGTGATAGGAGAGAGAAGTGATGTAGCACTGTAAGAAAATAACACTGGATGATAAATACAGAGCAACAATAAAAAGAACTTTAAATAAGTGTGTTCATATAACAAATACTATAAACATGTACTTGGTCTTGTTTCTTTTCTCAGTTTATTTAAAAGGTATAAAGTTATACAAAGAAATAATTATAACAATAATTAGTACATTGTCCTTAATATTTACAGGTATAATATGTATAACAATAGCACAAATACTGGGGAAAGAGAATAAAGCTATATATAAAGGAGTAGTGTTTCTGTATCTCAGTAGAATGCAATTTGTGTAAATGTGAAAAAGATTATAAAGTTGACTGAGGCAATAATTACACATTTCTGTAATAAGCATTGAATTGGACACTTTAAATGGAAAAATAGTATGGTTTTATTTTGGTTTAAATTTACAAATTAAAAAATATACACATTTTTAAAAGCTCAGGAACTCTAAGCAGGATAAGATTTTGTAAAATTTAAAGCAACAAGATAATAATGTAAGGGAGGAAAATTGTGAGTTTTACTAGTTGATAAATTTCTCCAGCACATAACTTTGTATTCCTAGTGTTTAACTCTAAAATGCTCTCCTCATTGACTCCTTGCTTATCTAAAAATCCTCTGATTTCTTAATTCAAATGAATCAGCCTTTCTTACTTGTATCTGTAGGAGAAAGACAAAAGAGCTGAAATGCACCTGTTAATGTTCCTCAGTTTTCTGTTGCATATAGCTTTACTTTTACAAAATGTTGTTACTGAATTATTGAAAACTCATTTTGTCCAATATGATGGTTTTTTTGTTTTTTTTGTTTTTGTTTTGTTTTTTTTTTTTGAGACAGTGTCTCACTCTGTTGCCCAGGCTGGAGTACAGTGATATGATATCAGCTTACCACAACCTCCGCCTCCTGGGTTCAAGTGATTCTCCTGCCTCAGCCTCCTGAGTAGCTAGGACTACAGGTGCCTGCCACCACGCCCTGCTAATTTTTGTATTTTTAGTAGAGACAAAGTTTCACTATGTTGGCCAGGCTGGTCTCGAACTCGTGACCTCGAGATCCGCCCACCTCACCCTCCCAAAGTGCTGGGATTACAGGCATGAGCCACTGACCTGGCCAATATGATGCATTTTTACAATGATGCGTAATCTGGTTTCTGCCTCTATTTGAATTATATTGGTGGTTTATTTGGGCTGACATGATGATAGTGCAAATTTTAACATTAATCATGGGCTCGGCCAATATTCCAAAGCAAGACTTCTACTCTATTGTTCAGGATCATTACAGGTGTCCAACTACCATTACATGCTCTGCTAGAACCAACTTTGACACAAAAAAACTTTAGGTTTAATAAACCAGGTTTACCAATTCTAATTATCCCTTTTTCAATATGAAATTCTTTTAAGTAGATTTTTTAGTTTTTCCATCATTATACCTAAATACTAGTTTCTAAATCCAACAAAGTGTATAAATCACATAAAACTCAAATGAAAAGGAATACAATCCTAATGCTGGTACTACTGCAAATATTCCTGTTTTCTTCTTTCCAGCTACAAAGTCTACCTGCTAAGAGAACCAGAGAGAAGAGACTTTTTCTCATTACATGTGTTATTTCTTATTCTTTTTTTATCACTGATGCCTAATTGAATTATAGTTACACCACCTAAAATAAACTATTAAAATATTTCTGGATGAGTCAAGGAACTTCTGTTTTGTCACATTTTATGAGTTGTGATGACCGTTGTGTACAGATAGGTCAATTATGAAAAAAAAATTTATGTTCCACCTCACCAGATATACCCCTACAACATGCATATGTTCTTAATATATCCTTGAAAGTTATGTTATTACCACAAACTAGTGTGATTTAAATTTGCATATGAGATTGCATTATATGGAAAAAATAGTTAAGAAATAGGGTAGCATAAGTCTGTGCCTCAATTTTGTTATTACTTGCTATATGGTATACATATAATGAGGTTTATATGATTGTTAATTGTCCTTTCAATTTAAGTTCCTATGTTGCTACAATCTGGACATTTTATTATAATTCTTCTACTCTAATGAAGAATATTAATTAGGATAGTATTAGACACATGCACACACACGTTAATATTTATGTTAGAAAAGTGTTTTGAAATCTGTTTGCTTTTATAGAGACTGATGAACGATTGCGTCGTGCAACTGAGAGAGGTACAATAAATAATGCAATGAAGACACAGTTAAAGAGAAAGAGTCACCCTGGTAAGAATAAGAATTTTTAAATCTACTTATGGTTTACTATCTTCTCTGGAGTTTAAGTATGTATCTCTAATGACAACAGTACCTATATGTAATTATTACATGAGAAAAAGTCTTCGTGAATTTCCTCCTATAATTAGTTGAACTCTAGTATTTATTCTCAATAGAAAATTAACTTTAGGGCTCATTTATTTAAAAAGTTATCCATAAAAGTCTAATGCTATAATGACCTTAGAAAATGCTTGCAGAAACATTTCAAATGCTCTTCAATTTACTTTCTATTTATGGCTAATTAGGAAAGTTGCTTTGTATTTGCAAAAGCAGAATTGCTAGCTTATAAACATGATAACAAGATGAATATAACTGATAATTATTTCATTGGTTACCCATTCCCTCTTATATCATTATGTTATCAGGCAAATTGACAATGTTTCAACTGCTTTAGTTTTGTTATATAGTTCAAAAACTATACTACTGCATTTTTAGTGGTGAAACAGTGACACACTTCTCCTTAATTTTTGGTGTTGTACCCAAAGAGGCAGAGAGCTTAACAGAGACATAAGGGAAAGAGACAGATGAAGAGAGCCCTGTTAAAACAACTCTCATCCAAAAGTGATTGTGTGTTATGATGGTTAATACTGTCAATTTGATTGGATTGAAGGATTCAAAGTACTGATCCTGGTGTGTCTGTGAGGGTGTTGCCAAAGGAGATTAACATTTGAGTCAGTGGGCTGGGAAAGGCGGACACATCCTTAATCTGGGTGGGCACCATCTAATCAGCTGCCAGCATGGCTAGAATATAAAGCAGGTGAAAAATGTGAAAAGACTAGACTGGCCTAGCCTCCCAGCCTATATCTTTCTCCTGTGCAGATGCTTCCTGCCCTCATGTGAGTTAATACTTAATAAACTCCCATCTATCTATATCTATATCTATCTTCTATTACTTCTTTCCCTCTAGAGAATCCTAACTAATACAGATTTTGGTACCAGGAGTGGTTCTAGAGGAACAGAATATTAAGGATGGAGTTTCTTTTGTTGGTTTTGGGGTTTCTGGAGTTGGCTGCTTAATATGATTAAACACAAAAATGTTAAGGACTCTACTTATAATAGTGTGGAGAACACTGATAAAGAGCTGAAATTGTAGAAACACATACACAAGCTCTTATCATGCAAGTGGCTGACCTGCAATGAAAGGTGCATGCACAGCCTTGCCAGGTGTCTACTCTTAAAGTGAGGGCATTGATTGAAAAAGAATGAGATCCTGAACCTTGGAATGGGGATGTGTGGAAGGACCAAATGAAGCTGGAGACACTGAGTTTGTAAACTCTGATGAATCTTTTTTACCAGAAGCAGCAGCTTCCCCATCCCCAGTAGTGGCAACATCCCCTCCCCAACCCATGCTGCCACAAGCCTTTGCATCTTTGTCTGAGAAGATAAACTCTGTGCTGCCTGAGGCAACAGTGATGGCCTCCCCTGAGGCAGTTGCCAGGCAAGATAATGTTTATTCTCCTCAGGAACCACCCCCAACATCCCTGTTTGCTTCTAGACCTATAACTAGACTAAAGTCCCAGCAGTTCAAAGTGTAACCCCATGGAAGTGCACTACACTCCAAAAGAACTGCTTGAGTTTTCTAATTTATATGAGCAGAAATCTGAAGAACTTGGAGTCCAGTGTGCGAGGGCAGGAAGCAGCCAGCACAGGAAAAAGATGCCCTCCTTTTGAGAGATAGCTCTTGTCCTGTTACTGGGTTTTGGTAGAAACTGAACACTTGACTGTCATGGGTCATCTAGTCACCATGTGACCTGAACTACCTATCATGAACTGGGTGCTTGCTGACCTGTCTAGCCATAGAGTGGGGCATGCACAGCAGCATTCCATTATCAAATGGAAGTGGTATGTACATGATCGGGCTTGAGCAGGTCCTGAAGGCACAAGTGAGTTACATGAGAAGTGGCTCAAATGCCCATGGTCCCCAATCCTGCCACCCTGCCTGCTCTCCCCTAGCCTGCACCAGTGGCCTTATGGGGAGTTCCTTATGATCAGTGGACAGAGGAAGAAAAGACTAAGGCCTGGTTCACAGATGGTTCTGCATGTTGTCAGGCCTCTGAGCCTAAGCTAAGCCATCATATCCCCTGTGACCTGCATGTATACATCCAGATGGCCTGTTCCTGCCTTAACTGATGACATTACCTTGTGAAATTCCTTCTCCTGGCTCATCTTGGCTCAAAAAGCTCCCCCACCGAGCACCTTGTGACCCTCACTCCTGCCCACCAGAGAACAACCCCCCTTTGACTGTAATTTTCTTTTACCTACCCAAATCCTATAAAACGGCCCCACCCCTATCTCCCTTCGCTGACTCTCTTTTCGAACTCGGCCCGCTTGCACCCAGGTGAAACAAACTGCCTTGTTGCCCACACAAAGCCTGTTTGGTTGTCTCTTCACACGGGACGCGAGTGAAATTTTGGTGCCGTGACTTGGATTGGGGGACCTCCCTTGGGAGATCAATCCCCTGTCCTCCTGCTCTTTGTTCTGTGAAAGATCCACCTATGGCCTCTGGTCCTCAGACTAACCAGCGCCAGGAACATCTCACCAATTTTAAATCGGGTAAGCGGCCTCTCTTTAGTCTCTTCTCCAACCTCTCTCACTATCTCTCAACCTCTTTTCTCCTTTCAATCTTGGCGCCACACTTCAATCTCTCCCTTCTCTTCATTTCAGTTCCTTTCCTTTCCCGGTAGAGACAAAGGAGATGCGTTTTATCGGTGGACCCAAAACTCCGGCGCCGGTCACAGACTCGGGAAGACAGTCTTCCCTTGGTGTTTAATCACACGGGGACGCCTGCCTGATTATTCACCCACGTTTCAGAGGTGTCTGACCACGCGGGGACGCCTGCCTTGGTCCTTCACCCTTAGCAGCAAGCACCACTTTCCTAGGGGGCAAGCACCCTCCACCCCTTCTCTCCGTGTCTCTACCCCTTCTCTTTAAACCTGCCTCCTTCACTATGGGCAGCCTTCCACCCTCCATTCCTCCTCCTCCTCCCTTGGCCTGTGTTCTCGAGAACTTAAAACCTCTTCAACCCTCACCTGACCTAAAATCTAAATTTTCTTCTGCAATACTGCTTGACCCCAATACAAACTTGACAATGGTTCCAAATAGCCAGAAAATGGCACTTTCAATTTCTCCATCCTACAAGACCTAAATAATTCTTGTTGTAAAATGGGCAAACGGTCTGAGGTGCCTGATGTTCAGGCATTCTTTTACACATTGGTCCCTCCCTAGTCTCTGCTCCCAATGAGACTTATCCCAAATCTTCCTTCTTCCCCTCCCACCTGTCCCCTCAGTCCCAGCCCCAACCGTCGCTGAGTCTTTTGAATCTTCCTTTTCTACAGACCCATCTGACCTCTCCCCTCCTCCCCAGGCTGCTCCTCGCCAGGTCCCAGTTCTTCCTCAGCCTCCACTCCCCCATCCTATAATTCTTTTATCACCTCCCCTCCTCACACCCGGTCCAGCTTACAGTTTCATTCTACCACTAGCCCTCCCCGACCTGCCCAGCAATTTCCTCTTAAAAAGGTGGCTGAAGCTAAAGGCATAGTCAAGATTAATGCTCCTTTTTCTTTATCCGACCTCTCCCAAATCAGTTAGCATTTAGGCTCTTTTTCATCAAATATAAAAACCCAGCCCAGTTCATGGCTCATTTGGCAGCAACCCTAGACGTTTTATAGCCCTAGACCCTGGAAGGTCAGAAGGCCGTCTTATTCTCAATATGCATTTTATTTTATTACCCAATCCGCTCCCGACATTAAATAATATATATATAGCTTTATTTTCTTTCCCCAGTATTTGTGCTATTGTTATACATATTATACCTGTAAATATTAAGGGCAATGTAATAATTATTGTTAAATAAAGCTCCAAAAATTAAATTCCGGCCCTCAAACCTCACAACAGGACTTAATTAGCCTTGCCTTCAAGGTGTACAATAATAAAGAAAAGTTACAATTACGTGCCTCCACTGTGAGACAAAATCCCAGCCACATCTCCAGCACACAAGAACTTCCAAATGCCTAAACCACAGTGACCAGGCGTTCCTCCAGGACCGCTTCCCCAAGGAACTTTCTTCAAGTGCCAGAAATCTGGCCACTGGACCAAGGAATGCCTGCAGCCTGGGATTCCTCCTAAGTTGTGTCCCATCTGTATGGGACCCCACTGGAAATCGGACTGTCCACCTCGCCTGGCAGCCACTCCCAGAGCCCCTGGAACTCTGGTCCAAGGCTCTCTGACTGACTCCTTCCCAGATCTTCTTGGCTTAGTGGCTAAAGACTGACGCTGCCTGATTGCCTTGGAAGCCTACAGGACCATCACAGACACTTTAGTAACTCTCACAGTGGAGGGTAAGTCCATCCCCTTCTTAATCAATACAGAGGCTACTCACTCCACATTACATTCTTTTCAAGGGCCTATTTTCTTTGCCTCCATAACTGTTGTGGGTATTGACGGCCAGGCTTCTAAACCTGTTGAAATTCCCCAACTCTGGTGCCGGCTTGGACAACATTCTTTTATGCACTCCTTTTTAGTTATCCCGACCTGCCCAGCTCCCTTATTAGGTTGAGACATTTTAATTATCTGCTTCCCTGACTATTCCTGGGCTACAGCTATACCTCATTGCCACCTTTTCCCTCAGTTCAAAGCCTCCTTCACATCCTCCCCTCGTATCTCCCCACCTTAAACCACAAGTATAGGACACCTCTACTCCCTCCTTAGCGACTGATCATGCATCCCTTACTATCCTATTAAAACCTAATCACTCTTACCCTGCTCAATGCCAATATCCCATCCCACAGCATGCTTTAAAAGGATTAAAGCCTGTTATCACAGCGTGGCCTTTTAAAACCTATAAACTTCCCTTACAATTCCCCCATTTTACCTGTCCTAAAACCAGACAAGGCTTACAGGTTAGTTCAGGATCTGTGCCTTATCAACCAAATTGTCTGGCCTATCCACCCCGT